GTGGAGGTGGGTTTTTTTTAAGAGCGCTGGGAGAGCGCTCTTAAAAAAAGAGCCACACAAGTCACGGTAAAGCACTGCCTTGGCAGCGCTTTATTGTTCAGTATAGACTAGCCCTAACTCTCAAAACATACCTCACATGACTTTGCTTTAAAGGAGTGTTTTACCAGAAATAAAATATTTGCACTTCTATAGCACCTTCCATCCAATCATCTAGAAGTTCTTTGCAAACACTAAGCCTCAATAGGGTTATAAGATAGGGAAGCAGTCTCTCTATTTTACAGATGGTGAAAGTGAGACACAGAGTTTTCAAATGTACTGAGCTCTCAACTCCTAGCAAAAACAAATGGAACTTTGGTGGCTCTGATAATCAGGATGAAAAGGTTATGGCTTCCCATATCCACACAACAAGTCAATAGCAGAGCTGGGAGCAGAATCAGAATCTGCAGTTCCCCAGGCCTTTCCTTAAGGGCCCGTCCTTTGCAATAAATGGGAAGACTCCCCACTTCAATGATCAGATTGTAAAGCACTAGACCATGTTTCATATCCAATATAGTAAGAAACAGATCTTGATTGGCACTATGTGTACTTTAAACAAACAGGACAAGTCATCTGGCGATGAAAACACTAGCAATGGGTGAAACTCAAAGTTTGGAGAAGTGATTCAATTTGAGATGAGTATCCCACAGTATCCAAATATCTTGTCCTCAAGTCTCATGAAAATTTTTTTCCTGCCACTTCTTAGTTCTAGCTGGGTTGCTGATAATGCAAGACCACCACCACCTCATATTAGCATATGTTATTTCTGGGCCCTGGCCAAAACTAGGTAATGTAGAAACATGTAAAAGTGAATAAAAACAGTCAACCTTAACCACATTCATTTGAATATATATATATTATATATAAAAAATCAGTTCTAGCGTCAGCAAATGTTTTATTTTTTTCTGGGCTGGTTGCCCAACCCTTAATAATTAACTAGGGTTACCATATTAAAGGTTTTTAAAAAGAGGACACTCCACATGGTCCTGGCCCTTCCCCACCCCCGGCCACGCCCCAACTCCGCCCCCTCCCCTGAGGGCCCCGCATTCCCCCTCCTCCTCCCTCCCAGCCATGCGAAAAGGGCTGCCCGAGCGCTACTGGCTTCACGGTTTGCCGGGCAGCCCCCAGATCTCCAGACCCTGCATCCCAGGCCGGGCGCTTCCCTAGCGCAGCCGGAGCCTAGGAGGGGAAGCGCCCGGCCAGGGGCGCAGGGTCTGGAGGTCTGCCCGGCAAACCGTGAAGCCGGTAGCGCTGGGGCAGCTCCGCTCTTCAGCTGAGGTGTCTGGGGGGGGGGGAAGCTGCAGGCAGATTCCCCCACAGCGGTGGCTGCTGCTGCTCCCCCTAGACACCTCAGCTCTGTGTAGCTGAAGAGCAGAGATGTCCCAGCGCTACCGGCTTCACGGTTTGCTGGGCAGCCCCCAGACCTCCAGACCCTGCGCCCCCGGCCGGGCACTTCCCCTCCCGGGCTCCGGCTGTGCTGGGGAAGCGTCCAGCCGGGGATGCAGGGTCTGGAGGCTGCCCGGCAAACCATGAAGCCGGTAGTGCTCGGGCAGCTCCGCTCTTCAGCTACACAGAGCTGAGGAGTCTGGGGGGAGAGTAGCAGCAGCCGCCGCAGCGGGGGAATCCGCCTGCAGCTCGCAGCCTGCCGGAGCCGCTCAGGTAAGCAAGGGACTGGGGCAGGGATGCCGGATATGTTCAGCTTTTTGGCAATTCCCCCTGGATGGGGGTTTGAGCACCAAAAAGCCAGACATGTCCGGGAAAATCCGGACGTATGGTAACCCTAATTACCCTAAAAATACCATTTTTACAAGTCAATAAGTGATATTGAACACATACCATTTATAGCCACAAGGGGGCATTAAGGACACACCATAGAGATAAAATCTAAAGTGGTTGAACAGGGCCAAGTTTATTTGCTAATGTGACAGATCTGTTGCAAACCAGCTGTAGACTGAGCATAACATTATCATATTACCCTTTTAAGTAATGACCATGGCTGAGATTTTTTTTTAATATGGGTGCGAGATGAGAGACCTGGATTTCAGAAGTGCCAAGGACCCAGCAGCTCCTGTGTCTTCAGTGATGTGGCAGATGCACATATGGAACTTCCACTGATTTCAGAAGGGCCCATCCAGGCTCTCTTCAAAGGACAGAAATTGCAGCTCAACTTCTGTTTCGTGGCACAGCAGCAGATACAGGCAGTATTTAAATCAAAGAAAAGTTTCAGAAAAGTTACATAAAATGAAAGGTATATAAAAAGGCACCAGGAATAAAATCCTGCACTCAACCCTGTGAAGGTTTATGAAGGAATTCCAGATAGCTTTTTTACTTTTGGATTGTAGCCGCTTTACTCCATTTCTTCCCATCTTGAAATTTTGTGGAACTTCTTTATATTCCAACATTTATCACAATCGCTGTCAATTCTTTAAGCTCATTTTCATATATACTGACTGTAGCCTATACCTGATTTGTTAGTGCAGTGTGGTTATAAAGACTACGCTATAATTATATTATGTGAAAATGTAAGGGTGTAATTCTACATTCTTGCACAGATTTAAGCTTAAAATGTTTTTGAACGAGATGAGCACTTTTTTAAAAAATGGATCCAATAAATTTACTACTTTCTTTGTATCAATAAGAAGAACTTTTGAGATACTCCATCTCTATTGTTTAAAGGCCAAAGTATGCAAGCAATTTCTGTTGACATATACATCTCTACCTCGATATAACGCGGTAAAGCAGTGCTCTGGGGAGGCAGGGCTGCGCACTCCGGTGGATCAAAGCAAGTTCAATATAACGCGGTTTCACTTATAATGCAGTAAGATTTTTTGGCTCCCAAGGACAGCATTATATCGGGGTAGAGGTATATGAGAATGGAGGGAATTTGAGCACTTAGGAGGCCTAATCCAAAACTACAAGTGATTAAAAAATAAAAAAATAAACAAACAAACAAACAAAAAAACCTACTCACTCAATTTTAATTCTCTCTCATCTAAACAAAATAGGACCTCAAACAAATTGTACTGCACAAGGATATTGGTTATGAGCAGAGCACTTGATATATTCTGTAGGTCAGTCATTAGCTAAATTCCCTTCTAAATATCTCAGTGGAACTTTGTTGTAATCTATCTAGGCTATCAATGGATGTGTTATTCAGTAACCTAACAGGCTACCAAGTGAAAAGCATAGTTTCTGATCCTTCCTAGAATGCTCAGACCACAGTGCTTACCGGTACATTGAAGCAGGTTTACTAATGAAATTCACCCACATTTCCCTCCATAGACTTTGCTATTAGAAGTGGTTCAACTAAAAATAACTAACATGTCAGTTAGGAGATTAAGCTATAGCCCAGTAGTCTGTGGTTTGACTTCAAAGATATTGTGGTCCATGTAGATGAACTCAAACAAGAAATAAAACAACAAATTTGGGGATCTGCAAAGGCTGATATTGTACTAATAGGATTGGTTAGCTAATAATTGAAGGAACACTTCTCAAAATGTATGTCCTTGGTTCCAGATTGTGAGCCACTCAAGTTCCGCCAGGAAAACATTAACCTTGTGTCCATACGCACATCATCAGACTCCCCAGCCTGATGTTAAACATTTCCAGTGAGGAGAAATAAAACCTTTAAAATAAAAAAATTTAAAAAAAGAGCTTGGATATCATTACTTTGCTATGTTTTACCAGAATGTAATGTAAGAAATGCAGTTTATTATATTATGCGTTGATAATGCACAAAAATATTTTTCTGGGGTACAATTTTATAGTCATTGACATTGTGCACTGAAAAAGAAATCAGATCTGGGTACTGTATATTTTATTTTATTTGTAGCAATTTTTCTAACTGGATATTTTTAAAATGAGAATATCATTATTTAATTTTCTTTTTAGTGTTCACACTTGTCAAGGCATTCTAAAAATAAGAGCAAATTTTTCACTCAAGTTACAGGTTAATTTAACTATTAACACAATTATTTCCTCTGTGATCAGCTTTTACCGAAGGTTTCGAAATAAAATACTTGAGTAGCTGAGGAAATGAATACAGAACAAATTAACTGTTAAACTCTGGGGTGCCCAGTATCCACTTTGCTTCCCCAAGAACAACATGAAATACAACAAAAACAACATTGACCAGGTTAGCTGCTAATCTGCAGTTCTGTTGTACACTAACAAAGTTGTGTATTCCCACATACTAAACCAACATACTTGTGTAGATACTTTGGTTGGACAAACAAGTCCTGATAGGAAGGAATAGCGGGTCAGTCATATGACAGCACCATTTAATAATAAATATTGTTAGGTAACATGGAAGAAGTGTTGCTGTTGGAGTGTATTCACCTTAGCACCTGTTTATGAGTCATTGAGATTTGTGCCAACAGTTTATATAAAAAAAACAAAACAAAAAGAAAACACCCCCCCCCCCGCCAAACCTCTAAATGCATAACATCAAGTTCTCAAGCACAATGTTTATATAGTGTCATCAAGATATAGTAACTACAAATTTAAAATGTTTGATTTTTCCATTTAGGGACTGACTTTGCAGTACTAAAGCAAGTGAAGGAAATCAGTGGGAGTTTTGCTTATAATAACACATTATACACAGCTTTCTTTTCATTTATCTAATATTGGTTAATGTGTGTGAATACACAAAAGTATGTATATATACCTATATGCATTACATAGTTATATATACACACACACACACACGTAATACATATAGACCCAGACTAACTTGGCATTAAATGTTTAGACTTTGAAATAATTTTTCTCTTGTTACATATATATGTTTTAAAAATAAAAATACTTCCATGCTTGTAGAGCTCCAATGATGTTAGCAGCTATTATTTATAATTTGCAATGTCATCATATCACAACAGCTTTCTTTGTCAGGTGCTTTTTTTTTTTTTTTTTTAAGTTTTAAATATAAAAATTAC